GGTGGCAAGACTCCCTGCAGGGCAGGCAAAGAAGAAGCTAGGCTGCCAGAATGGCCAGTCCAGGCAGGACTGGGCTTGCCCTGCTCCAAAGTAGAGCTGCTCTCGCAGGGGGCACCAGCGATTTATTTTCTAACTGGGCTGGGGGAAAGGGCATGATCTGGATGGAGCCACAGCCACCTCCAGCTTTTTTCTGCCGAGAGTCGGGAGACCACCCTGCTTCCCAAACTTAGGTCTGGTTGTCTGGTTTCCAGATCTAGCCAGCCTGGTCCCTGGGGACACCAACTTAAGAGAAGAGGGGTGGGGAGAGAAAAGAGAGTTGTTGGGGGAACAGGGTGGGTTGAGGTTTTCATATCCAGGGCCAAAGGAGAGTGGGCGCCTCACTAGTTCTTCTACCGGGTTAGTGACCAGCCAGGGGCTGGTGGGGACAGTCTTGCTGCAGGCATCCGCACATTTCAAGAACGTTCAGAGGAGAAGCAACAGCAGGGTGGTCCAGGTCCAGAGGTGTATCTAGGTGCCTCAGGGTGGGATTGGCTCATCCGTAACCGCTGGAAGGTATGGACACTTGCAGTGACCCAGAGGGCAGTGCCTCAGCAAGGGATACCCACCTCCGCTCCCACTCCCACACATGGCCCTGGACTCTGGACCCTGACAGGCCAGAAACAGAGGTTCAAACTAAACTGGACTGGGGGTAGGAGGAGAAAGAAGGCCTTTGGGCCCTGGGAAGCACCGAGCAGCCCTTCAACAAGGCCCAAGACGCAGACGCCCTTGCCCTCCCCAGGTAGGAAGCTGTTTTCCCCAGCAACTTCTGCTTTCATTTATCTGGGGGCTTTTAGTGATTTGGGCTGTGACCACTGGGGATGGGCGCAGGAGCCGGGCCCAGCTGGATTCACCCTGGTGTAGATGAAGTGGGAAAAGTTAGAACTCACGGCGAACGGCCAGCAGAGTGTTTCCATGGCAACAGGACACAGAAGTCACTGTGTAAGGGTGCGTCTCATCCAGCTGCACTGGCCGAGGGAGTCCAGCATCCTCATCCCTTCTTCCCAGTCGACCTCGGGCCCCTTTGCCCCAAGAGTACACTTCGCCTTCTGCCAAACAGAATCCCAAGCAGGGAAGCAGGAGGAGGACACGGCTCAGCGAGCAGCTCTCCTCCCGGATTGCTTCACGGGCCCCATCACGATGTTCAGCAACCCTGAACGTGATAACCACGGGCTGCCCACACCCTACCCGCCCCCACAGTGCCCACTAATCACCTGCCCCAATGGCTACAGTGAAGGCATCCCCACAGGCCACCATCGCCGTCTTGATGTTCTGCAGGCCTCGGACTTGACAAGGTGCCCGGCTGACCCGGCGGGCATTGGTGCCCAACTGCCCATGCTGATTGCTGCCAAAAGTGTAGCAGTCACCAGAGGCTGTAGGGGAGGAAAAAGGGAAGGAAGGAAAGGGATGCCTCAAGTGAGATTCCAAGGAGGCCAGGAGAGTCCACCCGTGGCCTCCCGTGCCCAGGTCCTACTCACCAGTGACGGCAGCTGAATGAGCAGTGCCCAGGTCCACGCTCAGCAGGGGCTCCTGGTCCAGGGGTGCGGAACCTAGTGGTGCGAAGCTCAGGGCCTCCTCTACCTGCTGGTCGGGGGCAGGCTCCTCCCCCAGGGAGCAGTGGTCCAGGCCCAGTTTGTTGAACCTGAAGGTACAGGCAAAACCCAAGTGCAGCTGACACTTCGTATAGTCTCTCCTGCTCCCAGCAATCTGGGCAAGAGCCGGTCACCAGGGCACAGATCCCACCCTGGGTTGAACCCAGCAGCACTCTCAGCGCCCCCTAGTTCTGCCCCTTGGTTGGTGGCAACGACATGTCATGTTGCCTTAGCAGCCAGGGAGGGGAAGGGGACAGGCTAGTCATCCCGGTGTACCTATTTACCTGTTACTCCCACAAGCCAGGGCTCGGCCAGGCACGGTGAGGATCATGGAGGAGTCAATGCCACATACAACCCGCTGGGCTTCCTGTCCTGGGGGTATGGATACCTGCTGGGGACAGCTGTGGGACTCCCTGGTGCCCAGTCCTAGCCGGCCTACAATAAGAAACCAGGATGGGGCTTGTTTGAGTTTTAGGGTCGGTGATGCCAGGATGAGGAGTCACAGAGAAGAGGTAACAGCGTGAGTGAAGGCTGTGCCCTCAGCCTGAAATGCCCATCCTTGGCCCCTCTGTGGTCAAAATCCTACTCCTCCTCAAGACCCCGTTCAGATGCCACCTCTGTCTCCTCCAGGAAACTCCCATGCCATTCCTTGGGTTCTCACATCTCTGGACCTTGGGAGGAGCCCTCACGCTGTCTGTCCTTTTTTTTTAACGTTTATTTATTTTTGAGACAGAGCATGAATGGGGGAGGGACAGGGAGAGAGGGAGACACAGAATCGGAAACAGGCTCCAGGCTCCAAGCCATCAGCCCAGAGCCCGACGCGGGGCTCGAACTCACGGAACGTGAGATCGTGACCTGAGCTGAAGTCGGACGCTTAACCGACTGAGCCACCCAGGCGCCCCTGTCTGTCCTTTGTCATAGGGAGATGTCATCCCTTCCATTAGAATGAGTCTGCCAGGAGGACAGAAACCCCATGTAGGTCTTCTCTAGTTTCAAAGCCCAGCGGGACGTTTGACCCAGAGAGGGCCACCAGAAGTATTGACTGATGAAAGAAATCTCCCCCGTTACAACATAAGCCCCTGAAGGAAGTGACTCTTATTCAACTTGTCTCTGCACCCAGCCCAGGGGGCTCACAGATGTGCAGTAAAGTTTCATAAGTCAATAAATGAGTGGAATTGAAGAGAAAAGACGGAGAACGAGTCATGGGGTAGAAGGTGGGTATGAAGGGAACAAATCATGGCCAGGGTACTGTGAGATGCAGCCAAGAGGCTAGAATGGGGTGGAAAGCTTACCACCATCTCCGCGGCCCCACGCAAATAGTTCTCGCTCTGTGGACAGGGCCAGCACGTGAGAGGCCCCACAGGCCACCTGCACCATCTCATAGCCCAGCAGCGCCTCCACAATGGTGGGCTAGGGAGGGAGGGGAAGTGAGAGAGACTGGGCAAGGGGCCTAGACTAGCTGCCTGGCCTCAGCATCCCATGTAAGGATGAAGTTGGAAGCGGCGAATTCTCACAAGACACGGCTGTCTCTTTAACTGCCCTCCCACCCCCACTGCAACCACTGGGGAAGGCCGGCCTTTCGGTACTTCCCCTGGTACTGCCTGGGACAGGTGCAGCCTGGGAGCTAGAGGGACCTAGCTGCTGGGGATCCCCTGCCCCCAACCTGGGTGTCAGCTCTCAAATGTGGGCTCCATGCCATCTCCCCACTTCCTCTTCTCCAAGGTATGTGCAACACCCACCTGGCTGATGTCATTGAGGCTGCCATGGCCTAGGCACCCGTTACTGCCGCTGCCAAAGGTCATGATGATACCTCGGTCTGGAGAGTGGGGGGTGGTGAGGAACGAGAAGGGAGAGAGAGGTTGGGCTGGTTTTCCAGATAAGCCAGTCCATGGGTTGGAGGAGCAAGAAAAAGCTGGAAGAATGGGACAGGAGGTAGAAAAGGATAAGCAGAGGTGTCTCTTCTCAGATGTGTGAGTTGGGACAGTGACAGTCTCTGAGCTTTATTTACTTTTTTTTTTTTTT